GAAAGGAAAAGAACCCCCAAAGCATGTCCCAATTCTCTCTTTCCCCTAAATCTATCCTTCTTCTATTTGGATCCTCTAAAAAGAGAAGCCAAATGATAAAACAACAAAAAGTTTGATATTTGACAACTAAAATGTAACAAACGTATGATTCTACCGTCGCCCATAAGTTCTAAAATCAATCAGAAGCAGTATCCAAGTACTGTATAATGTATATAGAAGATTTCCCTTATAAATAACTCAAAAAATCTAAAAGCCTTTGTTTTTCCTTCACAAAATCACGGCCTTACTACATTCCTTCATTATCCAATACTCCCAGAAAAATCTAATTTTTCTTTCAAGAGTAAACCCACTTTCAACCTCATAAAAAATGGGAAAAAAGAAAAACTCAATCCAACAAAATCAATGACCATTGAAAAGGGAGAAATCGAGTTCAAATGAATTAACAACATTTCATGCATCAAGTGTAGCAAAATTTAAAATCAAAGTTAAAGAAGCTAAAAAAACCACTCTAAAAGATATTCAAATTATTGATTAAGAAGACCTAAACAAGCATAAAACTAACAAAAATAAAAACATATTAATCTATATTCACATCTAAAAGTTCCTAAAGTTAGCAATAGAAAGAAGATCTCCATATTCATTTAATATCTTTAATCATATGAGATTCAACATAAGTATCTAAAATTAGGAAAAATTAGTTCTTCTTTTGAAAAATAAAAATAGGGATATATTAAAAACTAGAGCCACATGACAAGGGTTTAACGTGTACCTCTCAATACAATATATCCACCTAAAATTAATTGGCCCACCAAATTTTGCCTCATTCACCAAATGGATAGCCAAATGAACCATGATGGTGAAAAATGAAGGAAGGAATATCTTTTCCATCTCACAAAAGGTAATTGCAATTCTATACTCAAGCAAATCAAGGTCCCTCTCACATACTACCTAAGAACAAATATTCTTAAAATAGTTACAAAAGCCAATTATGATTTAGCATACTTTGTCTAGCAAAGACTTATATAATGTAATAGAGAGAAGTTCAAGCATCAACACATAGCAACCATGACTTTTGAGTCCAATTAATCTGTATGCTTTAAGTTGAACACAATGTGATACATTTGATGACAATTCATCTGGGGATTAGAGATCCTTGAGAACTTTAAAGAAGGCATCTTTTTCTTTGGAGGTCATTTGGTAGCAAGCTTTCGACAAGTACTTTGTACTACTACGCAAATGCACCTTGGGATGGAGGTCATTCCATATAGCCATATCTTCTAAATCACACCATACTTTGTAATTGTCTTTAGACTTCCCCTACTGCCCAGTGATGGTGCCACAAGTCTTATCAAATATGTTTTTCACTGTGTGCTTCACATCAATATTGTGACGTAATAAGAGATGTTCCCAATAAGGTAGTTGAAAGAAGATGCTCTTTTTCTTCCAAGGTTGCATGTTGCCATTGTTGGCTCCATCTTCTAGGCATTCTAATTGCCCTAACACCTTAGACACGGTTAGCCTCATAAGTGTTGAATGTGTTTCGCAAGTTCCATCAAATGATTGCACATCATGATAGTAAAATGTGGTCAGCTTTTAACCATCATCCATGACCTATAGAACAATACTTTCTACTATGTACCAACCATAAAGATTCCATATCAAAACTAAAATAAGGGCAGGCTTATATCCCTCTAGCACTATACCCAGAGAGAGCAGAAAGTCTAAGAAGGTCACTAATAGTCCACAATACCACTACATGCATTAGGAAACTTTGATTAATAGAGACATCATAAGTTTTCAATCCTTCTTCTCACAATTCTTTTAATTTTTCTATTGAAGACTACAAGTATACATCAATCTTATTACTTGGGCCTTTAAGACTAGGAATCACTAATGTGAAGATGAAATTGAGTTCCTTCATGCACAATCACGAAGGCAAATTATACAACATCAAGATAACTAGCCATGTGCTGTGAGAAACTGTCATCATCCCAAATGGATTAAAACCATTTGAAGCTAATCCCAAGCAAACATTGTGTGGATTAGTGAAAAATTCTAGATATCAAGAATCTAGATCTTTCCATGTCGAAGAATCTACAGGATGCCGCATCAATCCATCTTTAGTGCACCCTTCTTCATGCCATTTCATCAAAGAAGCCATCTTTGAACACATGAATAATTTTTGCAACCTTAGTTTTAAAGGAAACCAGCGTAATACCTTTGCAAAAATATTTTTTTCCTTTGTACTAGTAAAATTCTCAACCCCATCTTCCACAACAACACTACTTTCCTTCTATCTAGAGGCACCACACACATCACATTCTTGTTGATTTTCACAATCTTTCCAGAATAACACACAACCATTAGGACAAACATGTATTTTTTTCATACCCTAAACTACGACCTAAAAATATTATCTTCATTTCATTACAAGTAGCAGATAGTGTGTTTCCATCAGCTAATGCCTCTTTCAACAACTCCAATAGCATGGATAATGATTTATTACTCCACCCACTACGACATTTTATGTGGTATGATTTTATAATAATACATTTTGATTATAAACTAGTAGTATTATGAAATATTGTAATTATATTATTTTTATAATTAAATTATAATAAAAATGTAACATTACAAATTTATAATTATATTATATCATTAAATAACTAATGTATGCCAATTATTGATTTGTTTTGAGATCTTATTATTTTGCAAAAACTAAAAGGAAAATAAACTCAGCAGACGTAATGATGAAGATCTTGAAGTTGTGGAAGGAATAGTCTCAGGTGGAAAACATCTGGGAGACCGAGTACATGGTTGGTCGAGATTCGGGATTGGCATTTAAGCATGAAGATGCGGCCTCCATGATCAACCTCAGCTTGTCTTGGACTCCTGGCGATGGACTTGGAAACCTCTGATCCAACACCTCCTCTAGTCGAACATGTGTTTCTGAGAATAAAGACAAAGCAAAGAGATAACGTCACCCGAATGTACCCCCTGATTACTTCCATTGCTTATACACATCACATTTATTTGCTTTCATACGAAGATACGGTTACTGAGAAATGTGAGTATCTCATCTTTCTTTTGAAGCTGAAGATGATCCCAAGAACTGCTAATGACAAAATGGCTGCACCTAAAAGAGGGAAGACAATAACAAAA